TATTATGTTTTTTTTACGATATTATGCATGATATAAATACATTAGTAAAGTAATAATTGCGAGAAGTCAGTATAATGTTTAGAAAGTTGAAATGACAGCATTTCCGATCAGCTTGATACTACGGATGTAGTTTCACAGCGAATGCATATCATATATCCTTTATCAGAGAAATCTTATTTATATATATACACATATATATATACATATATATATTTGTATCATTCGCAAAATTTTGCATATCGACATTCTTTAATTCGCTGATTACTCCAAAGTTGATTTTTAATTATATTTTTTTGCATAAATTTATATTGCTAAATCGGAATTTTTTTTTTTAATAATGTATATTACAAATTAAATGTATATTACAAGTTAATATATTTTAATGAAATGTAAATTATTTACAACACGCTTTTATTTACGTAGACATGTTTAAAATTTCAATCTGCAACGCTGAAATGGAATAACAAAAATATTTTCACGTAACCGAGATCAATGAAATTTAATTAAATTCAATCTGAGATTGCGAAGTTTGTCCAGCTGTTGCGAAAAGGGTCACAGATTCTAATGCCACTCTCTATTTCCATCTGTTCTCTTTTCTATTTTGCAACGAGTCAGTAGAGAAGATCCGCGAGATCGCTTGTCGCACTGCCTGCCAAGTCTGCCTGGGATTTTCAGACTTTCCGCGTGCTTTCAAACGAGATGACAATGCATCGTGATCTCGAACGCATCGCTATGGAGCACCCCGTACAATCATGTAATTCTAACCGCCATTCGTCATCCCATGTATGTGCTGGTGTATGTAACTTGCAAAATTTTTCGCATATGCACGCTCTTCGTGAACTCGGCACCTTAGGCTAATTCTACAATGTGCTTTTTGTTTTCTGTTTCTTGCTGTTTGTCTCTTATCTTATTAGCCAAAAAGGCAAGAGACAAACAGAGACAAACAGCAAGAAACAGGAAACAAAGAGCACATTGTAGAATTAGTCTTAGTCGCAGATGCAACACTTGTAGATTCCCGCCCGTTTCCTCATAGTCTAATAAAACTGATATTTTGAATTACGACCTGATAGAAATTGTTAGAAAAATGAAAGGAGAGCAGCGATGATAAAATAAATTGCGAAATTGTAATTTTTCGTGAAGACGTTTTAAAATCGCAAATACAATTTTTGTTAACAAGTAAGAATCTTTTGAGTGTAAAGATTGTGTTCTTTAAGAGGAATTGAACAATTATGTAAATTACATGATTTAAAGACGCCTATTATTAATATAGCCTGCATGTATTACTGTTAAATTGCGAGCACGCTTATCGTATCTCGCCTCTTAATGTAAAGAGCAATTTACTTTATTGTACTCGTTCAGAAACAAAGTACTCATATAAGACTATAGACGTGTCTTTCATAACGCGCGAATGATGTGTTTAAGGAAATTTTATAACCCTCGAGATAATCTTCCTATTTTCTTTATACCTATTACGTCATTCCGATTTTATGTAGAATAAAATTGCTAAAAGTAGAATTAAAAGAAAAGAAAATATGTCTTTCGAAATTAGCAAAGATATGAAGCATATTCGTCGTAAGAAAAGACATTCTCTCGAAAAGCTTGTTTTTCTACGGTTTTTCTGTATTTTCTGAATGCTTTTTTCTAATCGTTCTGTCGATCCGTGAATGATTACGATAATTCCATCTATCCTGTCAATCGCGTTACTCTCGTCATGCTACTTTGCACGTGATCGACACTTGAGCGATTAAAAGTTATTTGATTAAAATTCGACACCTATAATTTGTAACTCACGTGAGTAATCTCGATAATCGTAATGCGTGTTTATAATTAAATGAGAGTTATTGGGAGAAGACAGGACATCGGTGATTAAAGCTGACGTTACGCCATAAATCCTTACGTGCATCCTTAAATATGCTTCAGATCAAAACATTTATTCTCGCTCGTATAATTTATCTATCAATTAACGTTATATCGATTTGCAAAATATTTTTGATTATATTGATAGTGAAAAACAATGATTTGTGTTCCATCATATGCACTTCAATATTTATCTTATTAAATTATTTACTTCTTAATTTGATCAATTAAATTTGATAAAAAGCAAAGAACATGTTTTTCATCACGTTAAGATTGTATTCTTTTTTTTTGTAAATTAATATTCTGAATCGTCGCATAATGTTTTCTTCTAGCTAATTCACTGCTTAACTCGTAATCATGTTTATGAAATTAAATATTTATGATGTAATCTCACAAATGTATGCCGCGGTATATGAATCACTGGCAAACCGCCTCGATTTGATTTTGACGTGAGATATGCACGTGTTGTACGACTGCTTCAGATGTTCTTTCACGGAAATATAATTGTAAAATTCTTTGTGACAACAATTATAATAAATAAATATTCATGATTAATAATTAGGTTAATGATATTATATTTCCATGCGCGATATGCAGTTACATAATATTCTATACGCAGTCATCAAAACTCACACTATCAATACGCTAACTAATCTAATCACCTCGTCGATTAGATCTCTAATTAAAATCTCTATATCAAACTTACTCCCTTTTACTCCAATTTGTTAATATTACATAACAACGGGCTCACTTATTATCTATGGTCGCGTATTAACATTCTTACAGAACGTCTCGTTTTCGCGAACGAGATAAGCACCCAACGAGAACGAAAAATAATAAGTCAATTATATCGCTATGATTAGAATTCCACGATAACACGTCCTTGCACATGTCACGTACAATGTCGGTCGTTTACAAAAACGACGAAAGCTAGAATCGTCTCTTGTGGCGATAACAGTTTTGTAAAAAGAGATTAATTACTGTTTGGGATTACGAAAGTTCTGGGACGAAAATGACGAGAATCGCCTGGAGCGATTATGGCCACTCATACTGTCGTATCGGAATTAACCGAAAAATTACTTTCTTATCTCGCTCAAATATTTCGAGCGGTGGAAACGTAATTACCGATTAATTCCACGATAACGTTGCAAATTGCATTCTGAAACACATGCAATTAATGCGTCACGTTCTTTAAAAATAATTTTGTTGTGTATCTAAGTAAAATATCTTATAGTAAAAAATAAAATTATATTAGAATTAAAGAAACTTTAAAAAATATAACGTTTCTTTATTGAGAGTGAACATATTTTTATATTGTTATAAAATCTATGAATCTCTCTTACAAATAAATAGGATATATTATTAGGTGTTGGAATTAATTCGTAGCGTTTTACAAGTGATGGGAAGTACTTTCATTAATGTATTTTTTAATGCTCATGTGAAATAAATAACATTCTTTCATTAAAAAACGCTACGAATTAATTCCAACACCTAATATTATAATTGTGAAGCAATGGCCTTTTTACTCAAATAATCAAAGCGAACTTCCGTCATTTTTATAAAAAAAATTGCAAAATGTTTGAAGAAGACTGCAAATACTTGTAATTTTGTCTCTTCTTTCTTTCTATCCTTGAATTGCAACATAATTCGTGAATTTGAAATCTGAAAGAGCTGAATAATATTATAATACTTTTGCAAAATAGTGAAAGGCCACAGTTTCAAGGTGGCCGAACGACAAGTTTTTACAGTTGCGAATGATACAGTCCGTCATGCGATTGATTTAAAGAATCACAGCCAATCGTTCGATGCGTTTGCGAAGTATAACGGTTCGATCTGACACAGAGACAGTTTTTGTTAACACATTGTACGCACAGGGACGTATTAGTGCTTAGGCTAACCTAAACTAGGCAGCAAATTTAAGGTGGCATTTTTTAAAAGAATTTTTAAAAAATTATTATACCATTTTTGATGCAAATGTTTGAAAAATTGTCCGTTGAAGGCAATAATCACTTAGGAAACACACCAAAGGAAGTGAAAGTCAAAATTACTTTATTTTGTAAAAATCAAAATGATGATTTTTTTGGTTACAAAGTTTAACTGTTTGATGTTAAGAATCAAAATAAAGTCATTTCGATATTTTATTGACTTTTATGTGTTTCTTGGACAACATAATAATATAGAACTTGATTAATTTAGACTACATTTGAATAATGGACAGCAATGATTTGATTGCATAGGAATGGCATGAGTCCTAATCTTGTCTCAAAGTTTCTTCAAGCTGGATTTTACAAATCTAGCTTGAAGTGTGAGAGTAATTGAGAAGAATATTATAGATACAAACGCGACGAATCGATTGTGACGTCGCGTGACTTGCCCTGTTGTGAACTTATTCTATTCCTTATATCCGGTGCGTAAAACGCCAATCCGTGCGTGATCGACGTGGGTGGACCGTGTCGATCTCGTATGCATCTTGAGAAGAATACATGTCTTTTTTTACATAACCCGATCTCGCGCTACTTCTTTTTGTATTTTGTTCGCGACGCGATTCATATCCGTGGTCTAATTTTCCAGAATCAGAAATGTATAATTATAATCGATCGTGCGAAGCGAATATCGCAGATGGTTCAGCAATCGATTTGCAACGTTTAAACGTCAAAATGTGCATGTTTTATGTGAAGAAAAAAAGGAATTCATTATATTGCTATAATTATCGTTAATTACGATTGACTATTATTATTCATATTTTTTAATCTTCGAAGGAAATCTATAACAAAAAAATGTCATCTTTTTTCTAATCTATCGACATTGGTATCGTGTTGTGAAATATCGAATATCTGCGCAAATCTGACATATGTAGAAAAAGTAATACGACATAATCTATTTAATCTATTTTATTAAAAAATAGTAGATATTTCTCCATCTTGCATATCAATCTTAAGATTAATCTTTATTTCTTATCAAGTTCTATGCAATATGTGTATAAATATAATGTAAAAAAATGAATATTTGGTTTGCATGAATTTTTACTTGAAGATGATATTTTGTCATGTTCTCAATTAATTTTATTGTCGATGATTTTTTTTCAATGATAACGGCGTTTGAAGTTACCGCCAACAGAGTTACAGTTTCGTCAATGTGATTAGTTAACGCCAATGTCGACGACGCGATGGTATAAGCGAACGTAGGACGTGGAACATATCAAACGTTATATTTGGAAGTATAGACAGAAGTCTTTTTCCTTGTGATTTCTTCCTAGAAGAGAACATTAGTGTCGTCAACAGTCTCTTCTGCGAAGTTAAGTCTGTGCATGAAAGGAAATCGTTGTAAGTGAAGAATATCGATTCGCCTGAGTCTGTAACAGCTAACATCATACGTAATCATGACCAACCTAACGTCAAACACGTGACTTCTCTGATGCAATCTGGCGCTTAATTTAAACGAAATAAGGAAGCTTGACAGTACACAGAACAGAAAGTGAAAAACGAAAGAATTATTGCGTAAAAACGCAATAAAAACACAAAAGTCGTATCGATTTCTTGTCTACAATCAGTGCTTTGCTCATCAATTTATTATTATTAAAATCGAATATCGAGGAGATATTTGAAGATAATCGCCGCATCTCTGATTCTCGCCACGATCAATAAGTGATAACACAAAGTAGACACAGTAGATAGGACAACTATATGCATAAGATTTAACTTTTGATTGATAGAGCGAATCAGCTCCGTCCTCGATAAGGTGAATTGTGATAAAGCGAGGTCGTACGATCGTCGACAGACAGAAAGAATCAGAGGCGAGAGATGTTGACTGTAATACGTAAAGTTACGCTCAGTCGTTTCTTGGAACTTTTAACGAGTAGTTCGTTGTTACGCGCGCGCACCGTTGCCGCCGGAATGACGTCCACCGGAAGTCAGGATTACGACCAGAAGGTCGTCCCTAAGAACGAGGTCATTAGATTTATCGAGGATTGTATGTGTAAGGCTGGTACCACGAAAGAAGACGCGTACGCCGTCGGTCATCATCTAATGATAGCGGATTACAGAGGTCATTTTAGCCATGGGATGAACCGGATGCACATGTACGTAAAGGACATCGAACACAGAATCACCGATCCCACCGCCCGACCGCAGATTGTCACTGATTTTCAGGTTCGCTCTCATCATCACGGATCTCTCTCATTAAACCTATTTTTTTTTTAGCTGAACTTTTGCACCAGTTCAGCTAAAAAAAATAGACTTTTCTCGGTGCTGCTGGTGGAATTTGAATATCGCGACAAAAGAGGATCCTTGATTCTTTCAGATCCTGTGTATATGTAACATCAGATTTGAAGACATTATCCATTGAAATTATTTAGTACTGTAGACATCATTTGAGATATTAAAATAGTCTAAATTTTGAAAAAAAAATTAATTTTTTAATGAATTACTTATTAAAGTGCTTATTAAATTGAAATAAAAAATGTTTTAATATGATTTCATTAAAATCAGGTCTGAAGAAGTTAAATCGTATAATTTACTCGTCACACTCGTTTCGAAATTTTGTAATTGTTTCTAATGTATCAAGCCATTCGTATATATTTGTATAAAGATATTCGTTATCAATTGATTGCAGCGAATGTCATCAATGACGTAAATGTTTTTCGAGCCAATAAGAAGGTTGTACATTTGATACCATAAAAATGGTGTTTACTTGTTCCACAGTAATGATGATGGGATAACTCTTTCTCTTCTCTCTGAAGCCGCTCTTGTAAGATCGACCTTCATATCTTAACAACTGATGACCTAATAAGATATTCGTTCCTTTGATTAATAGAATTTGCGTTTTTTGCTGTAAAGACATTTATCTTATGTTTCCTTTATCGTGTTTTCAATCAATCGTAAATATTAAGTAGTTGTAATTTCGCTGTAAAGCGGTTGTTTTGTATTAATATTTATTGTATTTTTGTGCTCAACTGGATAAAATCATTTGTGTTATCTTCCTTAAAACAGAAACTTTTTGAATAAAGTTCTATTGGCAATTTGACAATTGGCAACACGAACGTTAATTACTGCCATCGTAATTACCTTTTAGAACAGCATTGCGAAAATCGCTAGCACGGCATGGTCGGAAGCACGTGCGCGATAATTTATCGGATAAACGCGCCGGTAATTTGGCGATAGGTAATAAATGTGTGAACAATAATTAGCACGGCTCTAATTACTTTTCGAAGCGTATCTTTACTCGCGAGAATTGCAGGTGTCATCGGAAATATGTGCGCTTGCGTGTATAATACGATTACACTTGAGTGCGTCGAACGTGATACGTGTTTAGCAAATCAAACGCAATAAACGCAATCTTAGTATCACTCAGAAAGTATAAAATATTTTTACTTTAAATACGAAACGCCACTACGGTCTGAATGTTAAGATGTTGAACTATTGTATATATTCATTTAAATGAATATATAAAATATTTTTATTTTCAATATTTTTATTTTCGCGTATAAAATATTTTTCGTTTTCAATAAAGAAGCAATTTTGCAGAAAACTATACGAAAGCGAAACTAGATTACGACTTCAAATTCCTCCAGACTCGCCAGAACTTTAGGAACTTTATATAATATTTAGATGTTTTGCATTTCATATCTTTCAGGCGATAGCTCTCGTTGATGGAAAAAACGCGTTAGGTCAAGTGATCGGCAAATATTGCATGGAGAAAGCCATAGAGAAGGCCAAAAAATTCGGTATCGGCATGGTGGCGGCACGTGGCTCTAATCACTATGGCATCTGTGCTTACTACACCATGATGGCGATGGAACAAGGACTGATCGGTTTCACCTGCACTAACACGAGTCCGCTGATGGCACCGACACGCAGCATGAAATCCGCTCTAGGAACGAATCCCTTGTCCTTAGGCATGGCCGCCTGCAACGGCGACGAGTTCGTTCTCGATATGGCAACCACCGCCGTCGCCTTGGGCAAGATCGAGTTGGCCATTCGGAAGAACGAGAACATTCCCGAGGGCTGGGCACTCGGACCTGACGGAAAAGTGACCTGTAATTCCGAAGAGGCTTTCAAAACTTCTTTATTGATGCCTCTCGGTGGCGACGAACATAGTTCTGGGTACAAGGGTTATGGTCTGGGTCTGATGGTTGAGATACTCTGCGGTATCCTGAGCGGAAGTTTTTTCGGGCCGAACATCCGCCCTTGGAAGTCCGGCGACAAAGTCGCTAATCTCGGACAGTGCTTTATGGCCATTAATCCGGAGGCCTTTGCGGACGGATCGAAAGAGAGATTGACGATCTTGCTCAAACAGCTGAGAGATCTACCTACTTCCGATGGAAAGACGGTTCTGATCGCCGGTGATCCCGAAAGACGACACATGGAAAAGGTCGACATGGAGGGCGGAATGACGTATCATCCAAATCAATTAAAGGCCTCGGAAGAATTCGCTAAACACATGGGCGTACAACCGATGAAACTCGTACCTAAATCCGTTTGATTTTTTAGTTATCAGCAAAAAATTAATCTGCTCTATCTTATCTCATTTCTTTTATATGTATATCGATCGTAGTCTATTTTTAATAAATCTCAGTATAGAATATGAAAAAAAGATAATCGAAAATTAATTAAACGCTAACTTAATTGTTGTGATAAAGAAAATACGAAGAATATCTATTTTGATACTGATAGATGAACATTATGTAATACTTAACAATTTTCTACTTGAATTGCACCCAAAAATGATCATATATGCGCTTTATGAAATGATTATTTCTAAATATAACGTAACAAGACTGATGTAAGACCTACTTATGAAAGCCAATAAGACATTTATGTCAATCTCAAAATTGTACGAATAATATTTATATCGAGGCAAATCAGATCGCGTGTGCAATTCGATGATTTGAGCAGACACGATGTTCGCTACGATGATATAATCAGCGCTGCGGTTTGATCGCTAGTCGATGATGATGATGACGGCCTTGGACTTGTCCGCTCGTTCTCGATTACAGTCGTTACGTCTTTGCGAGTGGGTGTCGATAATATGAAACATAGCATTATTGAAAACAAATAAGTCACAAAACACGCGACATTCAAGAGCATTGTTTTATAAGTACTACAAATTAATTACAAAAATATATATATATATATATATATATATATCTTGTAACACAAATATATATATATATATATCTTATAATAATATTAGGTCTATTTTTTATTCTTGCACTAGAACTCTCTTTCTCACTTTCGCTAAATATATACCTATTTTACTTAAGTTAGTCTAAAAGTGTACACTAGGTTAGTCATAAAAAATAGAATTATTGTATACAATAATGTTAAATTACATTATTCCTTTTCTTTACCCATACTCGTGTAAAATATATTCTCATAAATTAATTTTAATTTAGCAAGAAACTCTTCTATTAATTTGCTCGCTTTTTAACTCGAAAACAGTGAATAGGGTTATCAAGCGACATAGACGCGGCGTCTGATTCGAGTTCGCATTATCAATTCCTATCAAAAGAGGACAAGATATAAATGCTAATGTTTGTTTTAATTTCTCAGAATCAAAAGTTAATTAATGGAATGAATAGATAAAAAATTTAATTCGTTCTATGAGATCCGTCAGAGTCAGAGTGATCCGTTTTATAATAATTTGACATCAAAGATTTTGTTACAGATCTTTCTTAAGCAGCACTGAAATACCTGATTTCCTCACCAGATTCGTTACAATAATAGATCTTTGAGAATTCAAAATTCCTGTCGAAAGATTGCCTTATACAAATATATGCGTGTTTGAGATCGGAATTAAAATTGCAATGTTGCGTTCTCTCGGTCTGTGTCGATAGAAATCTAACGTCATTTATTTTTTATGGTCTCTTATATGTTAAATCTAATTATGATTATCTCTCTTGTGTTTGTATTTCTAAAAATCTCATAAATAACTACTTTTGCAATAACTACAGTGTTCGTCGAGTATAATAAAATTAGAGCTTCTCGCGGTGAAGGTTGGTCGCAATTATCACCATTGACTTTATTTCGAAAAGACAATCTACGTAAGCGGTGTAAAGAAAAGAATCAGCCGTAAGAAAGGCGATTTTACGGAAAACTCTTAGGAATACGCACGCGTTAATCAACCATTGATAAGCGTGAATCTTAGAATCTATTCTTTACAGTCGTTTGTTTAAATCTATTGTTGTATTGCATGACGGAATTTTTTCTTCTAGAAAAATTTACGCATTAATTTTCAAAATGAATGTACTGCTTATATCTACATTCTGCTTTTTGAGAGATAAACGACCGTGACAAGCGATTCGACTCCACATATTTTTCAGTCCGACAGAATCAGCAAATGCACAGGAGGTTCAAAAGTTATCTTCGGCACGCTTTGTTTGTCCCCGTATTATCGAGAAGACAGGAATGAAATGCTGTTCCATCTTGCTTTTTCATGCGATAACGACTCGTCGATCCTAGAAGTAATTAAATACTTAAATGAAAAATATGTTATTGCAAATCGTTATACGTTATCGTTATACGTTATACTCTCTCTGTTAACGATAAAGTTGAAAATAAAAATTCAAACTTATTTCTAAAAATTTGCATAATTTATATCCTGTGATTCAGACAGATGATTGACGAATTAGTAGCAAAGCACGATTTGCTAAGAGAGAACTGTATGATTCATTAAAAACGCCGTCGACTAATGGCATCATAGCTGACGTTAATTAGACTTATCTCTTTGTTGAATCTCCGAGTAAAAACGCTCACTATCAATAATCACGATATATATTTCCTTCATCAATAGGTAGTTCTTCGAAAAAATAAATCCACGAACGTTTTGCAAAAAACATTTACAAAAAGTATTAATGCTTTGTTAAAATTTATGTGTAATTAATTGTAAAATATTTAATTTTCTAGATATAATTGAGAGATAAATAATTTGTATTTATTTTAATCGTCGAAATTTATTATTAATCGTTCAAATTCATTATTACATCGCGCTTAATAATTTTGTTAATATTGCGTCTTACGACAAAATTTTATACGCATGTGATTTGCAAATCACGCATTCGTGCAATCTGTCGAAGGAAAAGGGAACATGATAAGGATAGTTGAGCCCACAATGTGACTCATCTTTCCGTCGCGGCTAAACAGGAAGGAAGATCCAATAACTGGACAAACGATCCTGTCCAAAATGCAGTCGTCTGCTCTGTTGATACATCTCGGGCACGATAATTCATCGCCGCTCCATGTGACTCGCATTAACTAATTCACTGCGATCTAACATACTGTCAGGGGGTCATGGAACCCATGGGACATCCGTGGCGTTCTGGGACTTCCATTCCCATGACGGTTTCAACCGCCTTTAATGTTTGTCGAATGAAACGCTCGCTGATATATCTCTAGTGTACATTATAAATACTCTATATCTTTTATTTGTACGTAAGTAATGCTTTTCAGTCTTTATCTGAAGATAAAGACTTTATTACTTAAGTGAGATCACGTGAAAAAAATGGCGAAACGGGAAGACATTGTGATTTAACGAATAACATTCGATTCGTATTCATATCCGCGTCTGTTATAACTGCAATCGCGAGTTTAACATAGCAGGTTTAATAAATCAAAGTACGAGTATTTAATGACGATGCATAATATTGTGATGATTGATGAACTTTCGTCACGTGCGAAAACAAGCACGTGAGAATATTAGATGAAAAATATCGGAAATATGTTCGAATTACAGAGAAAGAAAAGTATAAAAACGTAATAAAAAAAACGTATTAATTCTTGTACAATGATATTTGTGTGCGAGAATGCAAAACGCTTGTTGATCACTCGGAGACTATTCAGGAAAGATCAGTTCGTTCTCGGAAAAAATTTATCTCGGGTTTATACTGACAATGAATCAACGCACTTTTCAGAATTCTTCATCGCATTTCTTCATCTTCATTAATTATCACAATTGTCGTTAATATTTGTTATCAGCGATCGCGATCGATAAAAATATGCGCAATTTACATGATTTTTTCGCGAATCGTCTCACAATATTCTATTGGATGCAGTTCCGCGAATTTCTCGCGCTGCACAAATGAATTATAATAATTAATAATCATGGATATGCAAAACTCGGCGAAATAATATTTTCGTAATTGAAGAAGGTCGACATCTTCTGACATTTTCTGACGTCTTCCTTATGACGTACAAAAATGTCTAATTGTTAGATCAACTAATCAGACGTCGCCAAAGAAATATATCGTATATATGGCCCATTTTTTACTTTTATGAGTTTAGTCTTTGTGCTTCGTGCTTTCGAAAATATAAGCGATACTTGCCGTCTGTCTATATTATTTAAATGGATTGGATATTTCTGGAAATGCAGGTAACGTTTATCGATATTGATCAATTCGCCGCTTCTTTTCTTCCGCTATTATTTCTCTCGCATGGCAATTTGCAAATTCCTTGACATGATTAAGAATATGATTAATAAGCGTGATAAAACATTTTTGTGAATCTTAGTCGCGACGAAAGAGGCGTATCGGAAGTTACATTATCGTGCAGCGCAAATTTGCGCACTCGGCGGAACTTTTGAGCGTACTACGCGCACAGTATTATCTTTTTGCACATCTCGGTGTCCAATGTAGAAATAAGACGACAAACAAACGACTTTTACAGCCCGATCGGTCAACAATTAGCTCCTTTCTTACGGCCGGATCTTGTTTAATTATTCTGTACCTCGCTTTCGAGAATCACTCTACATTCGGCCACTGTGCGAGGAGGTACGTAACGATATCTCGTCTTTAATATCGTGTGACTGTACTATGTTACTTTGGACGGTACAAGATCAATTTAATATCCGCTGCAAAATTATTAAACTTTATTCGTTCCTTATGGATCGATCACGAGCTGTGTTTATTTCGTCATATACTGTGAATACGGATGGGCATTGTAAGTAATCCATAGAATTAAACATCTATTATTTAAAAATAACATATATATCGGAGATGTCATCGATCGGAGCTGACGGCTGGCACTGGTTAAGACGACCATTCATCAAATTACGTGGTAATTTTGGTCAATGATAACTCATGACTTTGAAGGCAGCTTCCTACGAGCCCTCGTCGAGGGAAGTAGCCAATTGTCGTGTACGGCTTTCGTACAGTCGCTACTAGAAATGCCGTCAATAAGATTCCTCTCGTGGTAATACTTTGATAGAATCAGTTACATTTACAATCAATGCATAACGCAATAATTTTTTTATAAATTTCTGTTACCTATAGAGAATTGAGCATAAAATTTTCTCATTCTCACTCGTGTCTTATTGCACGCAAATTAACTTTTAATCCTCTCTTCCTCTTTATAATGTGAATCGAACTGTTGTTGGATCAGGACATTGATTGATAATTATTGGCATCTTTTAATAATAAATTATAAAATGGTCGACTTGATTAACGCAAAAAATAAATATAGAACATGTAAACGCAGTTTGCTCTCGTAGGTAAATAGTGACTGTATTTCTGAATTGAATTAATATACTCGAATTGAATTAAAATATTGAATTTGACA